TAAGGATGTATATGTGTGTGTGTATATATATATATATATGAAAATTAGCATAAATACACATCAACAAAAGACTTAAATCTGGATCAAAACCCGGCCCAATTATTTGTGGTTTCCAAAAGCATACACAAAGCAGGCTGAATCAAAACTGTTAATGTAAGATTGTTACATGTCCACAAACAGCCATTCAGTGATAGAATAGAAGGATGGGACTCAAAGATGGTAGTACTCCCACAATCTTTTTCATATTATGTTAATCAGTAAGAAGAAAAGACATGTCAAGTAGAGTCAAGAGAATCTTGCACAAGCTTATGAAGTTTTTCCTGCAGTGAGTGGTCACACGGATTATATTGTGTGTAGTGTTTTTATACAAGCAATGCTGCTTAAAACCCTCAATGCTTTTCTGGAGATGTAGTTCAGTAACAAAACACTAGTTTAGCTAACACAAAATCCTATATCGAATCTCTAGTGTGTATACAAGCATACACACAGAAAAACCAAATTCCGATTTAATGGAGTCTAGTCATATAGGCAAAGCAATTGATCACAGCTATCAAGATTTCAGATTCCCACATGTTAGTGTTTCAGTGCCACATATGAGCACAATAGCTTTATCAGCTTTAAAAAGTATATATTGGGGGCCAGGAGGAGGGGAGTTCCATGGACCAGCCTTAAAAGCTGGCCTTCCTATGATATTACCAACTTCAGCTTGAGCTTTGCTAACTAATTTTCTAAGTTGTCCACCCACCCATGCCCCTGTATTGCCTATCCCCATCCTTTAATCCTTTAATGTCTCAGTTTGTCCCTGGCTTCAAATATACACTTACCTAACTCTTTAGTTTATATAACAAATTGTTAACTTTTTTGATATTCTTATCTAGCTAAAGATTGTGTTTATCTTCTTCCTCTGACTCTTACAGACTATGTTGTCATTTCTTGTATCCCAGAGCCTTCCATAGTTGTTTGTTTGTTGGGTGTAGGGAGCAGGCAGGTTGTGGCCACAGTTCTTGTCATGTAAATGACATCTTTCTGACCTGTATCTCCCAGTTCTTAGCAAATCTTGTTTTCTGAGCCCACAAACTAAAATTATTAATATTTTTTAAGGTTGTTAATTGCAAGTAATAAGAGTCCAGTGTAGCTAGATTAAAGCTAGAATTACAGTTTATCCAAGGACCAACTAAGGGGCATGAATCTACAAAATTATTGGGAAAGGTGAAGTGAGAAACTTACTGCAAAAGGGAGATATTGAATAGGAAATACCTATAACTAGTGTAATGAAGCTGGGGGAAAGAAATTACTCTTGCTACTGCTAACACCACTACAGTGACCCCTTGAAATCAAAATACCTCAAATTATGTTTCTGAGAAAACCAACTTTCTCTATTTGCCTGCTGCCTCACCTACTCATTACTTGTTCAGATTTTATGAGAGTGTGTTTTTGTATAGGAATTGACTTCACCTGAGGGACTTAGTTTCACTGGACTCTGAAAATTGTAGTCATTAGCTGCCCAGTCTCTAAAACACAAGAATGCAAATTTGGAAGGAACAGAAGTAGGTTTCCACTGAGTCAGTATGCAGAAATTGCCACATCATTCCACAAGGTCCAGATCAACTGGGCATTATTTTTAACATCTTTAATTTGTGCGGTCTTCATAGACCTCCTGCCTCTAACTGCTGTGGTGCTCAGGGTCATTTTTACCTAGTTTACATCCTGGGTATAGATTATCCTGAAGCTGCCATGGTTTTTAACACTTGTCTTGTGTATCTAACTAGCAGTGTTTCTTTAAATAGTTTCTTCAAACTTAACTAAATTTTTAGTACCTAATAGTAATTTTCCCAAGCTGAGGCCACAGCAGATCCTCAGTAAACCTTGAATCATTAATTGGTTAATCAAAAATTGTATTTCTTCTAAGAAGTGTGTTCCACTTATGTGTTGCTGGTCTACCCCAAATACACAGTAGTGTGGAAGAAATTAATAACAGCTCTTCTAGGTCCAAGGGTGACTGGGTTTAACTGAGATACTTCTCATTTGAGGTATCTCATATGTCCACAATTAAATAGTGACTATAATTGCCTGATGGCATCTACACTCACATCACAGCTGAACCCCGGTGTTCTTCATGGTTTCTATTTCCAGATGACTAACTTGGGTTTATTATGTAGTGGCTCCAGATTGAAAGAAAGGAAAAGGAAAAGTTTGTCAACTTAAAGTTTAAATTCAAAACTGGCACAGTCTATCATTATTGATTTTACTGGTTGAGTCAGTTACAAAACAACCCCAAATTCAAGGAAGTGGGAATAAGACTACCTTGCAAAGGAGAAATGTATTAGAATGCAAAGGAAGGAAGGAACTAAAACCACCCAACTTTAGAGCAAGTCATCACAGGGAGTTGCAACAGTGGATAATGTGTATGTCCTCTTATAACCTTGGACACCAGACTACCCCATTTGTATAGTTAACAAACATCACTATACAGCTACCACTGACTGAAGGAATAGATAGCATCTTCCATCCCAACATCCAGAAATGTAGAATGACTCTCCCATGCTTCCTGACTTTAGCACTATGCTTTCAGTGTCTTAGAACACTGAACAAAAGTAGAAAAAATAGGTGATTTTATAGTTTAGTGTTTCAAAACACATTAATTTTTGCTTCTTCTGCCAAAGAAAGTAGTAATATTTTGTCTTACTTAAATCAGTGGGAAGTGAAGACTCATCTCCATTCATGTAACAAAGACTAGAATTGGTAGAGTCCTGAATTCTCAGTTCCTACATTGATTTGATGCTGTATTCCAAGATTTGAGTTTTCTGACAACTTGAAGAAATTTTTATAATTCATGGAAAGGGTCCTTTCATTATCAGAGGATCAGACATCCACATAAATTTGTATTTAAAAATGTCATATTCTTAGAGATTTTAAAACTCACTTCTGGGTCTGGAGCAATGGTTTGGTGGATTAAATCTTGCAGTGCAAGCATGAGGACCAAAGTTCAAGTCCTCAGATCCACATAAATGCTAGATGGGCATGGCAGCCCACCTGTAATTCCAGCACTTGGAAGGTGGAGATGGGATCCTTGGAGCAAGCTGGCTATCTAGACTAGCCCATATTAGTGGACTCTGGGTTCATCTGAGAGACTTTGCTTCAATGAATAAGGTGGAAAGTGATCAAGGAAGACTAAAGTCAACCTTGAGCCTACACACACATTCACATGTATACCATACACACATATGTGTGCAAATCAAAAACTCACTTTATTACATTTTTACTGATATTATACTTAGTTAAAACTCCTATAAAAATAGTATATAAGTCAAAATGTCATGTCATTGAATATGAATATAGTATTTACCTTATATAGTATGGTATGAGGAAAATTGGAGATCACTGCAAACCCAAGTAATATAAAGTGGTTTTATGGTGGAGGTGGAAGGGGCTACAACATAACTGAATATGTTATGAATAGGAGTACAGATTTAGTTTGGGGGTGAGTAGAGGCATAGAGACAATAAGACTGGTACTGTAGCAAATGATTTGGACTATGAAAGATGAAATCAAACAAAAATATATTAAAGCCTCTATTTGGCCAACCAAACATGTTGAATAAGATTGCAAACAAAGCTAAGTAAGGGCCAAAATTGTTGTTGTATGCTGAGGACAGATCCGAAGAAGAGGATTTGTGTGTATAATTGTTTTTGTTAATCATGGCTTGCAGTAACCATAGCAAGGGTGACGGCAGTGACAATAATACATGCAGTATTACAGAAAGTAAGTAGACTTTGCATTAGTTAGGTTTCCATAATAGGTATCACGGACCTAGTGGCTTAGAATGATACCAGTTTACTCTCAGAATACTAGAAGCCTACATTCTGAAATTAAGGACGTTTGCAGAGTACTGGGAACGCTGTAAGGAAGGAACCCTTTCCTTCTGTCTCTATGGTAGTTGGCTGCAGGGGTTTGTTCTTTGTTTTATGGATGAGCATTCATATCCTCTACAAATCAAAACTCCAAGTAAAAAGCTTTGTCCATTGTGCTATCTCCCCAACCCCAGCTTTACATTTGTTTGTTTATTTATTTAGGCATTGTTTTCTTATGTAGCCTAGGCTTGCCTGGAATTCACAAGTACAATGTAGCATTGACTTCTGGTAGACCCAACTCCCTTACTCTAGCAAGTACTTCAATAGAGATTGGTACCACCATGCCTAGCCTAGCCTAGCTTTTTTTTTGGGGGGGGGGGTCAAGACAGGGTTTCTCTGTGGCTTTGGAGGCTGTCCTGGAACTGGCTCTTGTAGACCAGGCTATTGTCTCAAACTCACAGAGATCTGCCTGCCTTTGCCTCCCAGAGTGCTAGAATTAAAGGCATGTGCCACCAACACCAGGTCTTAGCCTAGCTTTTAAATCCTGAAGTCTATCAAGTAGAATGATATGTTCAGGAGATGAAAGTTACTTAGAACAAAGTTAGAAATCATTTTTTTTTTAACCTGGCTTTTTGAGACCGGGTCTTTCTATTTTGTGTTGGCTGTCTTGTAACTTCTTATGTAGACCATATTGTCGTCAATCTCATAGATTCCTGCCTACCTGCCTGCCACTGATTCCTGAGTGCTGGGTTAAAGTCATTACCACCAAGCCTGGTTAAGTCTTATTTCTTATAGAAAGTTAAAGAGGTACTATTCCTTATTCCCTTTTACTGTAAGTATGGACATTTACCAAGAAAACAAATGTGCAATCACTGGAATTTTATAATCTGTATTTTGTTCTACTAGATAAATGTAGAGGGTAGAGGTGATTCAGTGGTGGTCTTCCTTTGAGGTATGCTGTGTCCTTCAAGGTTGTGATATTGGGCCTTTGAGGGATCAGCCAGTCCTTTGTTTTGCTCACAGGGGACATAAATGCCCATCAGAAGGATTGGATAGACATAGAGCAGCAATCAACATCTAACCAACCTTAAGCACAGAATGTGTGAGAAGGCCAACTACAACTTTGTACTATATTTTTTCTTCTTCCAGAATCTTCCCCAGGTGTGACAGAAGTGAGCATAATAGAAAAGCTGCCTGCTGAACGTCATATGATTTCTTCATGGGAACAAGTAAGTGTTTCTGTGTTGAGTCTTCATCTCCCAACAAAGAAAGGTCAATTTAAATGCCCCTGGGAAGGAATGATTAGAGCAAGAAACTTAATTCTTCTGTCAGGCCACAGCTGCCTTTTATTCCATTCCAATTTCCCAGCAAAGCATCTTCTCTGACCCGGGTCAATACTGTGAAAGCAGAGGATGTTTAGGTTGTGTACATATACAACAAAACTACAAGTCCAGCTGTGGAAGAAAAAGATGCCTATTAGTATGCATCAGACTAAACTGAAAATGGTTAAGTTGCAGGAAAACACTTAACTGGATCCATGGCTGGTGCTTCTCCGTTTTCCTCTGTTAATTAATCAACTTAAATGCTTTTCATTAACAGGACTTTTCATGGTCCATATATAATGAAAGAATCTGCCTGTGAATTTTCAAAGCATCCCAGGGCCAGGAGAGCTACATTATCATTAAGCATTTTGGTGACATTGCATAGTTACAGAGTCCATGACAGTTCTTTGATTAGACTCTCCAGTACAGTGTACTGATGATGGAACTGTGGCCCACAGAGACCCCACAATTTGGCAAAATGCCCCTTTTCTTTTCAGCCTTACTTAGATTATGGCCATAGAGTCTAGGTTTTCTTGCAGATAAGTCATTCACATACTCCTGCTGTGAATATATTGTAAGCATTTACCACATAACAAGTGACAATCCTTTTCAGCCCCCCAAGCTCTTACTCTTCTGATAAGTGCTTCATTTCCCCCTCTGCAGTACATTGACAACTTCTTTCTTTAACATATAAATAAAACAAAGCAAAACCTTCAGTATGTTCTCCTTCTAACTGTTTAGTCATCTGTTCTTTGCATGCATAGCTTGTAGACAACATGTCTAAGTCAGGGTTCAGGAAATATTTTCTTTTAAAGGAACAAACAATAGTTTAGGCTCTATGGCATCTCAGTCTGTCACAGCAACTCAATTTTACTATGGGAACATTGAAAGCAGCCATCAACATACAAGTGCATGATTGATTAAATAATTTTTATGTAAAAAAGAAGTGATATGACAGGTGCAGAGGGCCTGTGTGCTATAATTTACCAAGCCCTGGTCTAAATTATTGTCCTTTAGTTCACCTCTCAGTTATTCTCTAGCTATCTATAGCCTCTCTTCCTCTACTGCCATTCCTTGGCACCACTATGTCATATCATTTCCTTGTCTACTTTTAGTATCAGGGTAGTGTTGGCTTTGTGAATGAATTTGGAAGAGATGCCTCTTTTCAATACGTTTGGAATAGTTTGAGTAGAAATAATAGCCAGACAGTGGTAGTTCACACCTTTAATCCCAGCACTTGGGAGGCAGAGGCAGGCGGATCTCTATGAGTTCAAGGCCAACCTGACTTACAGAATGAGTTCCAGAACAGCCAGGATTGTTACACAAAGACACCCTGTCTTGAAAAACCAAAATAAATAAATAAATAAATAGCTAAGTAAGCAAATAAATAATAGTCTTCCTTAAGTATATGGTAAGGTGTAGGCAAAATTTTCTGTTCTGCCTGGTCCTGCTGCCATTTAGCTCCAAATGAACACACAGAGGAGTCTATTATTATAGCCTGTTAGCCAATGGCTCAGGCTTCTTACTGGCTAGCTCTTTCTTAATTATTAACCCATAACTGCTAATCTATATATTTCTACAAGGCCTTATCTTACTAGAGAATGCCCAGTGCATCCTATCTTCCCAGTATCTACATGGCTTCTCTTTGCGGCTCTCTGTGTCCTCTCCCCAGCCTTCTCCTCATCTGGTAGCCCCGCCTATACTTCCTGCCTGGCTATTGGCCAATTGGTGTTTTATTCATCAACCAATAAGAGAAACATATATACAGAAGGTCATCTCCCATCAGTAAGGTCTTCAATAAAGCCATCCATTCCTGGGTTTTCTTTGTTGGGAGACTATTACTGCCCTATTCTTACTCATTATTGGTCTGTTCAGGCTTTCTGAGTCCTCCTGGTTCTAATTTTTTGTTTGGCTATCAATTTCCTCTAGTAATTCTGGTTTATTCTTATTTTTCTCATTCCTTTGTTGTATTATTAGGGTATGTTTTTGAAGTCTTTTCTGGATGTGTGTATAGGCACTCTTGGTACTATTCACTCTTAGTACTGCTTTTTCTATACCTTGTAGTATAGCAAAATTAATATATTTTAATTTATATGTTACCCTTTGTGGTGATTTGAAAAAAAAATGTGCCACCCTAAGGTAGTGGTGCTTTTGGGAGGTATGGCCTTGATGGAGTGGGTGTGGCCTTTTTGGAGGAAGTGTGTCACTGTGTTGGTGACTTTGAGGTTTCATATATGCTCAAGATACCACCTGTTGTCTCAGACCACTTCCTGTTGCCTGTGAGTCAACATGTAAAACTCTCAGATCCTTCTCTAGTACCACATCTGCCTGCATGCTGCCATGCTCCCTGTCATGATGATAATGGACTAAACCTCTGAACTTATAATCGAGACACCACAATTAAATGTTTCTCTTTATAAGAAGAGTTGCAGTGGTCATGGTGTCTCTTCACAGCAATAGAAACCCTAAGACACTCTGGTTTTAAGAAATGTTTACATTTCTCTTTGATTTCTTCATTGATTTGGTTTTCTCTGAAGAGAATGTTGCTTAACTGATATATTTGTATTTTCTTAAGTCCTTCTTACTGATTTCCAGTTTTACTCCATTGTGGTGAGAATTTTCTTGGAATTTCATGAGACTTGTTTTATAGCTTATAATTTCCTTATAGAATGTTCCATGTTCTAATAAGAAGAGTGTTATTCTGCAGTTTTTGGTTGAAGTGGACTATAAATGTATGTTATGTCCATCTGTTTTTATTTTATTTTTATGAATGATTTGTCCACTGATAAAAGTTATCTGTGGATAAAATTGCTTCATTCCCTGACTGTTGTTAAAAATGAGTCTGTTCCTCCGTTAGAGTCAATATCTTTATTAAATATTTGGGTATATGTATTATGGTAGTTTGAATGTAACTAGCCCTCATAATCCCAAAGCGGGGGGCACTATTAGGAGATGTGGCATTGTTGAAGTAGGTATGGCCTTGTTGGAGGAATTGTGTTATGGTGGGGGTGAGATTTGTAGTATTTTTTGCTTAAGCTTTGCTCAATGTCACAGTTGACTTCCTGATCAAGATGTAGCCAGCATCATGTCTGCCTTCATGCTGCCAATGCTCCCCACCATGGTAATAATGGACTGAACATCAGAACTATAAGCTGCCACCTCAATTAAATGTTTTCCTATGTAGGAGTTGCCATGGTCATGGTGTCTCTTCACAGAAACCCTAACTAAGATACATGTGTGGGTATGGGTGATGTGCGCATACATTTATAATTGTTACTTCCTCTTATTGAATTGATCCATTTTCCTTTATATAGTGACCTTCATCGCTACCTATCCTTTCTCCTGCCCAGCAAGTGGCCAATCAGGTGTTTTAGACAGGCAAAGTAGAACAGCTTCACAGAGTTAAAGAAATGCAACACAAAAGAGTGCAACACATTTTTGCATCATTAAACAAATGTTCATAGCATAAACAAATGTAGCACATCTTAAAATAATATTCCACAACAGTGTGCAGAGTCCTATGATAGAAGGCACCACACCCAAGAGCTCTGAAGCCATGTTGCTGCCTTTGCAAAGACCTCCCTGCCAATCCTCCTGCTTCTGAATCTTAACTGGGTAAGCTTAAGGGCACTATTGACCTGAAGGTAATCTTTGCTGAGTCTATAGAGCCTAAAGAAGACAGATTATGCTACCTCTCTTCTGAGTCTTCAGCAATTCATCCTTGGCCTCAGATTCTCATACCATACTCATCAAAATGTTTCAATAAACCACCTCCTCTGCCTTTTCTTAGGAAGGACTTTGAAACTGCTTTGAGAATTGTCATAGGGATTTCTTACCACTCCATGGCCTAGGTTTTCCATCCACTAGGGAATATCCTCTCTAGGAAGACTTTAAGTGGATGTATTCGTACTCATATCTTCAAAGTGCCAGTAATATTTTCATGTGCCTTCTTGGTGGCCTTCATGAGTAACCCTTTATTTAGCTATATTTGCAACAGGTACTCAGATTGCCATCTTAGCAAAGACAAACACCTGTTTCAAAATTAATATCCACTCTCTGCCCCTTTGTATCTGCTGTTCTTCCAGATAAAGGTACTTCAGTGGCAGAGGGAACAGTAGCATACAGGATTGTGTAGAAGTTGGCTGGTGAGCAAAAGACGGTAGGCCTCCTCCTGCTCTTCTGAGGTTTAGACAGTTCTGATGAAGAATTTCTAAGAATTCACTTGATGGTTCCCAAAACTGATGATGTAATAGTAGAGTTTCTTGTGGATTACATTTTTAGAGTAGTTTAAAAAAAAAATGTAGTTAGGCTTCAGAGGGAAAAAAAAAAAACATTAAAACTGGAGAACTATGTTACAGAATCCTGCATTGCCCTGGAATGTATGGTTTCAGTGTTATTGGTCTCCAGGGTTATTCTCTCTCCTTGACTTTCTTTCTAGCTCCTCCCTCCAATCTTCATTATGTTCTCTCTTTCATTCACTTCCTGCCCATTATCTTTTTTCTCTTCCCTTCCCATCTTTTACCACCAAAGATGGAGAACAAAGAGAAAAAGAGTGAGTATGCATTTGTTGTGGGAAGATGCCCTCTGAAGTAGGTAGGTTGTTCTCCCCAACCCCAGGAAAAGCAAACTTTATATTGGCTGAAAGAGAAATTAAAATAGCAGCAATTGAGTCACTGACTAGGGCAGATAAGCCACTTAAAAGTAGTACCCTGAAAACTTAACCAAGTAAAGCCAGCTATGACAGGAAGCCCTGTCAGCTGTTTGAGTATCTGTCACAGAAAGCCCTGTAGCAAAGCAACCCTCAAGGCCAGGCCAGGACCCACCAATCATTACTTTAGAAGGATAGTGTAGACTTGGTGTTTTTCATGAAATTTGGTTTACTTCACAATTTATATGCTCAGTTTAATACTTGAAATATTTTATTTTGGTAGTTTTCCCTGATTTATGAGTTTTGAATAATCCTTAAAAAAAAAAAAAAAACTCAGTGCAGGCATAGGGAGGGAGCCAAGTGTGGTGGATGCACTTGTAATCCCAATCCAGTGAGAGTCCTTGTATCAAAAAGCAAAAAGGTAGATGGTACCTAAAGAATGACACCCAAGGTTGGCCTCTGGTGTCCATGGGCACATAGACTTATATCATGCATTCACATTCACACACACACACACCCTCTGCTTGTATAAAATAATGTCCTTCTTGGTGAGACAAATACATTAGCAAATGAGTAATTAGTACTACTGGAATTCTCCAGACTTACTTAAAGATGACCTTACCAGCCCTTTTGGGAGGGAATCTCATAGACTATCTGTTAAGAATAGCTGGAAAAGCCTAGTATAATGGAGCAATTCAGGAAGCTGAAACAGAAGAATCATGAGGTAGAGGACTGCCTGGGCTACAGAGCAAGACACAGGCACACACATACACAGGCAGACAAACATATATCTCATATATATGTTTGCATATATAATATGCATATACACATAGTATACATATATGTATGTATGTTATATATATACACACACACACACACACAAACTATGCCCTGCCATCCTGATCTTTCTGATGGCCACAAAAAAAATAAAAAAAAAAAAAATGCTAGAAGCCTCCAGGTTCTGTTTCTCTACCAATAGATGGCACCAGCAGTCAAAATCTGCCAATGGATCCTAGCCTCTTAGAGCTACAGAAGTAATCATCTTTTTTAACTGAAAGAATTTCTTCTCACACAATATATTGTGTTCATGTTTTTCCCCTTCCCCAGTTTCTCCCAAATTCTCCTTACCTCTCTACCCATCCAACTTTACATTCTTTTCTTTATCCTTTTTCTGACTCTTTCAAAAATCAAGAAGCAGAAACCCTACAAAAATGAAAATCAAAACAAGCAAAAGACTAATAAGACAAAAAATGCCAAGACAAAATGTAATGAAACAAAAAGTCTGCAAAAATACTATTGAGTTTGTTTTGTGTTGGCTAACTACTCCTGTGTCATTGATATACCTAGTGAGACTCCACTGGAGAACACTGGTATTCCCTTTGTCAGCCAGTATCAATTGCAGATGGCTTCTTGATCAGGGATGAGACCCTATGTCTTTTTTCCCCTCTCAGTGCTGGGACACTGTCTGACTTGAACCTGAACAGGTCTTATATGTGCTACCACAGTCTCTGTGAGTTCTTATGTTCTTCAGTCCCATTGTATCTTGAAGACACTATTTCCTTGGAGTCATCTGTCACCTTTGGTTCATATAATCTTTTTGCCTCCTATTCATAGGTCCCTGAGCCTTGGCCTGGGGTGGGGGATTGATGAAGACATCCCTTTTAGGACTGGGTGCTGCAAAGTCTCTCATCTCTCACTCCCTGCACATTGTCTAGTTGTAATCTCTGTAATTCCCATCTACTGCAAGAGAAAGCTTTTCTGATGTGGTTTGAGTAAGGCACTGATCTATGAGTATGGTTATATATCATTAGGAGTTATTTGCATACTACGTTCCTTTAGTAGAATTAACCGTAGGTATTGTCTTAGCCTGTCTAGTCCTGGGTTCTTGGTCATTTTAGCAGCATCGGGTGTAGAGTCCATCTCATTAAATCCAATCAAAAAGTGAATGGTTATTTTCATAACATTTATTCCACTGCCATACTACTATATCTTGCAGACAAGTCACCATTGTGTAGGTCACAAGGGTTTCTGGCTGTGTGATATTGATGATAACCTTTTTCTTCCAGTAGCTCTTTTCTGCTGACAGTCTTAACAACACCTAACTGCAGGTGTCCCATTGAAAGTCCCAAGAATGAGCAGAAGACACTAAAATCAAGCCCTGCTCAAGATAATTTACTAAGTAGGAAATAAAGTCTGAGAATCTTGTAAGTGTGATTGGGAAATATTTGGTTTAAAAAATAAACATACATGTACATATACACAGAGAGCAAACAAACAAACAAACAAACAAAAATAAACCCAAGAAACAGAAAGGAAATTTAGAAACTTAATTCACTAAAATGAAAACTGCTGTCCATTTCAAAACCTAGAAATGCTGCTTAAAATCACCTGTAAGCTTATTTTCACATAAAATTCTTGAAGTTATCATAACTTCTCAGTCCTCTTTCTTTCTAGCAAGTTGCCTCCCCCACTCCTAGTGTAGATTTCACATTAAGGTTTATTCTTGATCCTAAATTAGCAGTTTAAGAGACAGTGCCCAAGATTAATTGACTAATGGCAGAGCTAGAAAATAAACCCAGATTGTCCTGCTACAGAACACCACCACACTTAGTATTTAGAACTGGCAGTATGACCCAAAGTAAAGGATTACACAGTGGTCTATATCACATCTTCCAAGGGTCCACTAAGCCAAAATCTTGGATAGTTGCTACTGCCTTGTCTTTTTGCCTCTGTAGTCACGCCAGAAGTTATTGGAGAAGGTTCCAGAAAGGACCTGAAGAACTTACCTCTCTGCATTTCAGGGATTTGAGTTGAATAAAGAAGACTAGTCCAGCCTGTACATGGGTTCCAGTGAGTTAGAATTCAAGGCTTGCTCCTATTACTGCCTGAAAAAAAACACTAAGATGTTCCTTTGTTTGACACACCACCAGTTTGGGTGACTTTTTTTATCCATATGAAATACTTTTGTTCTAATCTTTTTGATAAGAACTATCATAACTATTCTGGGAGTTGGAGGTGCACACCTTTAATCCCAGCACTCGGAGGCAGAAGTAGGTGGATCTCTTTGAGTTCGAGGCCAGCCTGGTCTACAGAGAAAGTTCCAGGACAACCTCCAAAGTAATACAGAGAAACCCTGTCTCAATAAAACCAAAAAAAGAAAAGAAAAGAACTATAATAACTATTAAAATAAATTCATGGTAGTAAATGCTATGGAAATAGCATAGGTGGCACACTTTTAAGGTGTTTTCCTGCACAGAAAATGTATGTGCAGGAACCTGAAGTTTATGGCAATCTGCTCTGATGGTGTCACACTTTATTTGGAATATCCTCTTGCTACATTCCATTGTCCCCTGTTAACTTTTACTCCCTTTGAGCCCCCTCTCCAGTTAACATGTGAAGGCAGAACAGAGACCTAATCTGCTTTATCTGGACACACACACAAACACACTGGTAACTGCTTGCTGGGCCCAACACCTGTCTTGTAATTTTATAGATAATATCTGTCTTCCTACTTGGAGGAAGATGGTTAACATTGTATGCAGAGTTCTGAAACATTGCCTTCATCTGCTCTCCAAGCCCTGACCTAACACAGAGCAATTTCTGGTTCTAGAAAAACAATTGTGTGATGCCTGAAGATGTGAGAAACTTCTATTTGATGACCAATGGTTTTCATATGACATGGAGTGTGAAGCTAGATGGTAAGTCATCCTCCTTGATGTTGGAGAACATTTTCCTGGTGAAGAGGTTAGATGAGGCAACTTGAAGGTCCTTAGAATTGTAGTTATCTTTTCATCTATACTGATTTTGGGTCTCAAGTGTCAAATCCAGGAGCTGTGAAACCCATCCTCTTCCAAAGCTAATTGATGTTATCAGTGCTTTACCTACTCCTACCATGTTTGAGCCTGGCTTGTCCTGATCCAGAAGCCCAGTTTAGACTTCTTGTTCAAGGGAATCATTAGCCACCACATAGAGAACCTAGCCAAATCAAACATAAAGCATCTGAGAACTCCCCCTAGAGCTACAACAGTACCTCTTAGTTTCCTTGAAACAGCTGACCAACTCTTCCAAGCTTCCAACTTCATTCTCACTATTGTGCAACTTTAAAGCTCTAACCCTCAAACCAGAGCTTCTCTTTCTCTCCTTACATCAATCACCTCAGCCTACATCACCAAACACCTTATGTGCAGGCTTTTATCTAAGCCACGTATCTATACCTAAACATTTGCATTGCATATATAGAAGTCCTGCTTGTTACATGCCAGAGATTGCAGATAGTATGTAAGATGTGAAAGGTGACAGACACTACATATGTATATGAAAACACTTCAAAAAGTTCATAAGTTAGGAAGTCCTGAAGTAGCCTTTGGGGCCCAGCATGTGCCTGGCACAATCTTACCAAACCTGACCTCAAGAGACCTTTATTACTTTCAACTCCAGCCACATCTCCACATGTTCTTTGGCCTAGGGAAGCACCTATAGCTCCACACTGCTGTTGTTAAGGAGGAATGATTTCTGTTGCACAGAAAAGCTACATAGCTAATTTCTCACTTTCATGTCTCCGCCTCCTGCTAGCACATCTGAATTGCCTTTTTTGATGATTTTGAAACCAGTCTCCTGTACCTAGCCAGAGGTACTTTTTATAGATTAATGAATATATGATATTAACTTTTACCAAAATCGTTCAATCCAGTGGCCTAAAAACCTTGTTCATAGTTGGAATATCTTCTGATACTTAATTTCTTAATCCCAGTCTTTTTATCCCCATTACTAAATAGCTTAATGCAGTGACAGAAAAGGCAACAGGGCTGCAGAGATAACTGGGTGGTTAAGAGCACTTTCTGCTCTTCCAGAGGGTCCAAGCTTGGTTCCCCAGCATCCACATAACTCATAATCACTTGTAAATCCAGCTCTGTGGGACCCAGTGATTCTTCTAGCCTCCATGAGCACCTAAACACATGGCAGATACTCATACACACATACACATCAATTAAAGGCAGCAGAGGTAACCTTTGATCTTTAATTATCTTTCTTGGTATTTCTAGCCTTTTTTAGATTTCTGAGTTTTTGTATGCCATTCTTTATCCTGCATCCTGTATCAGTAGGTTCTATATAATATAAGGCAATATGTAGTATGCTGTTCCTTAGTTATACCCTATTCAGAAAAGACCAGACCCAACAAACAAGAAGATTGCCAAGTTCTCTGTATCATCTAAGGTAAAATGACAGGGAGATATATTTTCCATCATGAAGACTTATAAAAGAGAAAGGGTCTATTACATAAAGCCACTATTCCATTAGAAACTCTAGTTCTTGCTGGGCAATAGTAGCTCATGCCTTCAATCCCAGCACTCAGGAGGCAGAACCAGGCTTATCTATGTGAGTTCAAGGCCAGCCTCACTTACAGAGTGAGTTCTAAGATAGCCAAGAACAGTTAAGGCTACACAAAGAAACCCTTTCAAAAGAAAGGAAGGAAGGAAGGAAGGGGAAGAGAAAGAAAGGGAAAAAAAAAGAAAGTCAGTTACTAACTCTAAATTTTTAGCCCTTTTTAATATCCCATTATTCTTCAATGACTCCACAATAAACATAGTTGGAACTGCTCATCATCTTTGGCACCCCGTTCCTCTGTTTGTTTGCATATATAGTAAGCGTTCCTCCTTTGTGTACGCTCTGTCGTGCTTCTCAGCCATGGAGCCATTCTCAGTGGGCTTATTGAGTTATCCAAGCAAAAACACTTAGGTTACCATGTCTAGGCTACTACTTGTCATTCTTTTTGTTCCCATAGAGCACATCATTCCACTGGGAAGCATGGTGATTAACGGCATTTCAAAACTGACTCAGCTCATCCAGTCTTCTCTGTATGCACTTCCTACTGCACCAACTCTGGCGGACCTAGAGGATGATGACGAAGGTACCTGGTGGAACTCTTGTTTTGTGTTAGAAATTAGTCCTCTTGTCTCACTTTTATAATACTGAGAACTATAGGAATGTACTATAGAATTATGCCATGTTCCACTAAACTATAACTCTTTTCATATGTAGCTTCTGAAAGTAAGATAGAAGCAGAAGAAAACGAATAACAACAAAGGAAAATTTCATGAGTGATATTCCAGGGTCATGTCTTTTAGTTTGTTTCTTGTACCCATTTTAGTGGCAGACATGTAGTAAAGGCACATCTTTACTGAGGGAATCAGTGTTATGGATTAAACCTAACTCAACAATTCAAAGGCCAGCCATGGTAGCACAGGCTTATAATGTCAGTACCTGGAAGGCTGTAGCAGGAGAATCATGCATTTGAATTCAACAAACTACATAGTGTGACTGTTCCTAAAACAACAGGATTCAAGAAATATGGAAGTCTAAATACAGCTACTTTTCTCTCCATTCCCACCTCTAATCACTTTGCCACTTCAGAATGAAGAGACCAAAAGCAGTGGTGTGTATATAAAGAGTTCTTTAGTCAGAACTGTGTTTAACTGCTGTGACAGAATCAATTACACCATTTTCTGAAGTAGTATATTTTTACATAAAAATCTGACAATGGGCTGTTATGACTTGGTTGAGAAAGGCAGTCCCTCAAGCTTCCCACTGCACCAGCTTTTGGGATATTGTGTTTTGTTTCTCTTCATGGTTGGGATGTATATAGGCTCTACCTACAAGCTTCAAGTCTCTGCTTCTGGGGGAAGAAGAAAAGACAAGGTAGGGGAAAAGATCTTAGCAACATCTAACATTTCTTCTGTATTGGAAAAACAGTGTTCTCAAAAGCCATTGACCAGAGCAGTATTAAAGCAGGGGAGTCTTGGGGGCTATTTTGATTTGTACAGAATTATTTATTCTAATGGAATTTGGAACTAATTAAGGAAAGGAAAATAGACACCTTGTTTCTAAGCCGTAAAGGTTCACTGAAGTCCTTATAAAGGTAATAATCGAAGACTTTGCTCATAACTAGTTAAATTAAGGAAGAATAGTACCAGAGGGGTCAAGAGACAGATTGGTTAAATCATGAGTACTGAAAAACAAAAAAAAAGAGTGCTGTGGGATCCCCTAGGGGGATTGGTTACATTGGCTTAATACACGTATGACAAGTCTTCTCTAAAAGGCAAAGAAGTAGGCAGGCTAGGTTGTTGCTGTCCTTGAGGTTAGAAGAGAGAAAGCACATTAGAGAAGATATTTTGGCAAAAGACTTGAATGAGGAGTAGGGACCACAGTGCCTGCATACCTGCAGATATAAAAACCACTGAGCCCTCTGGTTTCTGCTGGGTCTATGCATTTTTTCAGTAGTATAACAACTAGACTTCTGTCTCATTATAGGACCTAAGAAAGAAACACATTAAGCAAACACTAGTGAAAGAAAATGTACTGAGGCTAAGAGAAATGCCTCAGTGATAGTTAAGAGTTCTCTTATAGGTCTCCCAGCACCCACATCCTCAGGCATCTGTAACTCCAGTTCCAGGGATTCAAATGCCTCTGAACCCTGCAGGCACCACATGCAAGTGGTATACATAAAATCATACAGACATACACACAAGGAAAAGAAGCAAGTCTTGGGGCTAGGAAGATGGCTCAGCAGTTAAGAACACTTTTTCTTGTGTATGCTTTCCAGCACCCACAGGCTAGCTCACGACCAACTTTAACTACAGTTCTCAGGGAGCTAATGTCTTCTCCTGAACTCTGCAGACATCAGGGCATGTACTCAGTACACAGACATACATTCAGGGAAAACACTAACAAACATAAACTAAATAAATCTGAATTCTTTTTGATCTTTAGAAGAAAATATATTTACAGATTGAAAGGATTCATCCAAGCTTGGGGAGGGGGGAACAGACATCTGCACTCCCTGATTAGTTGAGAGAGGATGACAAGCTTTTAGGAAAAATAACAAGTACTTGTGGAGGAATAATAATCATATTAACAAACTAATCAAGTTTCTTGTGTGTAGTAGTGGAAATTAGAAAATAGAAACATTTAGTGATTACTAAGTGGAGGGAGGGAAGAATGAAATTTGTGAGTCCTGTATGTGCAAAGTAAATGTACCTTGGATTATAAGAGGAAAGTCATAATTTCTAGGACTATGGTTTATAACTTTTGAACAAAATATAAGGGATATCTTTTAAACTTTTTCCTGTTTTAGTTAAACTTAAAGGTATAGAGAAACACTAGGTTAAACTTTTGTAGGTTAATTTATAGCCCATTCACTGAAAAAGTATCTGCAAGTCATAACTCCCAGAACTTCAGTGTGATCTCTTCCCCAAACTGCAATTTGAATTGGTTAATATGAGATCATACTGGAACAGGACGAGCCCTATAAAAAGAAGTAATTTGGAGACAGGCACACATGGGAAGAGTGCCATTTGAAGATAAAGTCAAAATTAGGGGTGATTTTTCTTCAAGCCACACGCACACGCACACACACACACACACACACACACACACACATTTTTC